TCACTGCATCTTGCATATTTTACATAAATGATACACCTAATTGAAGAAACGTTGTCGGGTCCAAAAAGATCAAATCATAGAAGCTAAGACYGAAAGGGTACTTGGGAAGACAAACAATTTGGCTAATTTCATAGCAAACAGCTCTCCAGTATAAAAGACTATCATGCTGTTAATCTTACTAGCTCTACTTGCTTAGTGTACACTGTATATGCAAATGTATCCCAATTTAGTGGTACTCAAAATCCCTTTCGGTCTTAGCTTCTATGATGTGACTTTTTCGAACACGACTACGTTTTTTCAATTAGGTGTATACAGAATCACTTAATGGGGTGAGGGAGAGGACAGTTTGTTCTTTTTAATAGATTATTTAAACCTCCTTACTTTTCTTAGTCTTTTGCTTTTGTGTATAAACTTTTAATTAGACTAACCCTCAAAAAATTCTTAAGGCAATCGATTGATTGAGTACATGGCTCTCATGAACTTTCATAACTTGCTTTTGTCATTATTACTATTATCAAGTGCAGGCTGACAAGTGCGATGGCAAGCAAACAGGAKAMGYTCGCCACACCCCTCGTTCTACCCAATAACTGTAACTGGGACGAGAAGACCGGAAAATATACCACAAAACCGAACGTCAAACGTGAAACTCTAACCTTGGTTCCTAAAGCATTAGATCAACTACGAGAAATCAAGGGTCATGTATGCGTGGTATCTATTGCTGGTCCTTGCAGAAGTGGGAAATCTTACATCCTGAGCAAGGCATTTGACCAAGGGGAGGTACCATCAACTATAGTTAATCTTGCCAAATTAAACGAAATTACAATGAATTGAATGAAATGTTAAATAAAAATTATAGTAGTTCGCATAAAATACTGGGAGAGTTTTCATCGTAGCTGAAACAAATTACCTGTTCAGTTAACGCCAGTCCCTCATACCAGGGGTTTCGGTGTCAGTATTTACGTGTTTTGAAACGTGAAGAGCATTTGGGCAACCTCGTTCCCAGGCCCTTATCTCCAAGCGAATCCATATATCCCTCCAATCTCCCCACCCCTCCCTTAGCTTGTAATGTTTAGATTCGATTCTTACTTACAGGTGTTTCCATTGGGTCATCTTCTTGATCCAGAAACCATGGGAATATGGCTATGGGTGGTGCCAGAGAAATTCAAAGACAGTACAGGAAGAGAGTTCACAGTAGTTCTGATGGATTCTGAAGGCATCGATGCAGTTTCCAGCAAACAATCTGATGATCACAGGATATTTACTTTGTCAGTTCTGTTGTCATCTATCATGATTTATAACTCTGCTGGTGTGCCAAACAGATCTGATCTTGAAGGATTGGAGTATCCTTGTTTACATTCATTTTTTAGAGGCTTTTAAAAGAGAGAAATGTGTGTTTAATGTAAGCTAGTGTAACTAATACAATTGGCATGGAAACGACCATGGCATGTAGCGACATAGGCTCAGTCTCCAGCCGTCGGGATTTCGTGCGCCCGCGATACTCTCTCCCCTGACGGCTGGGCGCATGGGGTTCGCTATTGTCAGTCTTGACCAATCAGCGAGTGGCCCCCGATATTTTCAGGGGCATATCATTAATAAATTAGCAGGCAGCAGTGTAACAAAATGGCGTACAATTCGTCGTTTGAGATTCTCTTTGAAAGTGCTTGTTTGAAGGCTCTGAAGTCGTTTAGCTTGGACGAATTTAGAGAAATACAGCAAAAGGCTCTTAAAGAGATTGTTCTTGGAAAAGATGTCCTTGTTATTCTTCCTATACTGGCTCGGGCAAATCTCTTATTTTTCAAACAGCGCCACTAGTGTATTTTGCTCGTTTTTCTGGCAGATAATACATCCATTTGGATTATTAAACCCTGCACATGTTTTACTTGGGGTAATTTCCATTCCTTTCTCTTTTTTAAAGCGCTAACTATTACATTATATCGCTACTTCGCGAAGTTTTCATTTCACATAATTTCCCGCCTTGTAGCAAAACCTTTACGGCTGTTGTCAGATATTTCACTTCCGTTCACTGAAAAATTCACTTCCGTTACGTCATAATATGCTAATTACACAAAAACGTCACGGACATGCGCGACACGTTTCGAACCCCATGCGCCCAGCCGTCAGGGGAGAGAGTATCGCGGGCGCACGAAATCCCGACGGCTGGAGACTGAGCCTA